TTTTCTGGAAGAGGGATCAGGAATATACTTTTTTAAAGGGCCACAGGTAATTCTGAATTACTTGCCTTTTAATAAACTACTGGGACAGTGCAAGATCTTTAGCTTTCTAGACTGTTGGACCCGGAATCAAACCCCTTCCAAATCAATAAGAGAGACACTTTAGAAAATTCATTAATTGGGGCGCCTGGGTGGCTCAGTCCTTTAAGCGGCTGCCTTCAGCTCAGGTCGTGATCCCAGTGTCCTGGGATTGAGTCCCGCATCAGGCTCCTTGCTCAGCAGGGAGTCTGCTGCTCTCTCCCCTTCTGACGCTCCCCCTGCTTGTGCTCTCTCTCTGTTAAATAAATAAAATCTTAAAAAAAAAAGAAAATTCATTAATTTATTGACCCTCAGTTTCTCTAATTTAAAAAAATGGCGATATAAACACCTTCTTTGCAGGGTTCTTGAGTGGAGATGTAAATAAAACATTTAAATGAGAGCATCTATCTTCAGGGATCTGATAGGTAACCTAAGATCGTAAGATGCAAGACAGATCAGAAGATCGTAAGACAGAACAGAGAGACTGTGGCTAACTAAAGAATGCAAGAGACTGTGGCTAACTAAAGAATGCAAGCCCCGACTAAATATATTTTTTAAATTATTTTAAACACTGACCTTGTCATACAAAATATATCTGCAGGCATGGCATCTGGTTTTTACCCCTAATATACTGGCCAATAATTAACCAATATTCAAGTGCTACCTAAAATATAAAATCCTGAGTAGTCTACAAGTATTTTCTAGCACTGTGTAAGGTGCTGCTAAATACAGGATTATACATTGATTCAACAAATATTCAGTGCCCATTACATACTAGCAAGTACAGATAGAGATACTAAAAGAACTAATTCAAAGAATTTATAGCTGAGAGAGAGAGTATAGATAAATCAGAACATGTCCATTACTAATACCACTAACAGTACTGATGCTACCCAAATTACCTTTCCACTTTCAGTTTTGCATTAATATTCCATGCAAGGTTTTGTGAGCACCTGTATTCTTTAAATTTTTAAACACTGTTAATGACTAGAAGTATTTGAGATTTTAAGTAATTTTGTTTTAGGAACAGAGTACATTTTACTTTTTAAATTTTATTTATTTATTTTTTCTAGGTGGAGTCCAGCATGGGGCTTGAACTCATGACCCTGAGATCAAGACCTGAGCTGAGATCAAGAGTTGGATACTTAACTGACGGAGTCACCCAGGCGCCCCTAGAAACAGAGTACATTTTAACTAGATCAACATGGTTGTTTGCTGTGATATAAGCAAGCTTGCTTAATTAATGCTAAGGCTTCTCCCAGGTTTAAGATTCTGTGGTTAGGAAACACTAAACCATGGAGTCATCACCTAAGAGGAAACATTGACCAAGTGACTCAGAGTCATCTTAGAGCTAAAGTACTTCCTAAAACATTTTGAGCAAGTTTCTGTCATGTGAGACCTGTCTCTCAATGCAGGAAGTACAAAACCTGGCAGCTTTCTGACTCCATTAAAATTGGATTGTCCTCTGTCATTTTTCTGAACTCATCTAAAATCTGAGCAAAATATGTTTACAGAGCCTACTGCCAACATTTATTTATTTTTATTTTAAATCATGACTCCTCCATTTGTTGATCCGTGACCCAGGCAAGTTACTGCACTTTTAGTTTCCTCATCCTTAAAATGGTGATGATAAGAACTGAGATTTGTTTAAAGGAGACAATGTTTGCAAAGCACTTAGCAGAGCCGTGGCATATAGTAGTATTCCATAAATATTGTTTAGTATTTTGATTGTCATTTCTACTTCCACACAGATAGGGCCTTCTTGTCTTTCTTCTGAGGAATCTTTAATGATGTCTCCATAACTACCCTTGTCAGACATTTTTGCTGGAGGCATCACTGCTTGGAAAGCCTCACTCCCAGGCAGCCACTGAAGATTAGATATGAACCTGGAGCTGACTCAGTCCAAGCCCAAGGACTTTGTTCTTCATCCCAACCATTACGAGGAGGTAAGAGTCCTATGAGCAAACCTGGCCTCTTCTTTGGTCTCTTACATTTTGGGTTTCTGCTTCAGATTTTTATTTATTTATTTTAGAAAATACTCAATTTTTTAAGTAGGCTCCACACCCAACATGGGGCTTGAACTCATGACTCCAAGGTCAGGAGTCACACGCTCTACCGACTGACCCAGCCAGGCGCCCCTTCAGATTTTTATTTTTAAATCTATTTCATTAAATCTAATTTATTATTTTAAGGAAGGGTCTTGCAAATACCAACACACACATGAAAAATACTCTCCAAGGTGATAAAGCCCAACTTCCTTAGCCTGCCATTGAAGACTGTGCAGTATCTAGCTGGAACTTACTTTTCTAACCTCCCTTCCCCATTGCTCCCCTCCCCTTTTGGTGCAGCCCACTCCCACCCAAACTAACCTGTTATTCATCATGCATACTGTGTCCTTCCCATCTACACGCTTCAACCCCAGATGCTCAGCCTTCTCCCTCATCTCCAAATTCCACCCTATTTCCAGGTTCAGGAGCAATGTCAGATCTTTGGAAGGCTTCCCAGAATCCTTCTCTATAAAAAAGTGCTTGGGCTTTGGACCCAGTTCACACCTAATTTTCATTTCTAACTAGCTGTGTATTTGTGATTCTTTAAAAAATCGGCACCTGGGGTCTTGCCTATAAATAAAAACTTAGCCTATAGCACTGATAGGAGGTCTAATTGCACAAACAAGACATATAGGCACTAATCACATATCTCAGGTATACCAACAATTACTTCCTGCCTCAAACCATGGTCATCTCTTCTACTTACCTATTTATAGACATGGTATAGGAACAAATGGATAGCTATTGGGGAAAAACAATTTGAGCTGAATCCCTAGTCTCATTTCCTACACTAAAATAAATTCTAGATGAACCAAGTTTTTAAATCTAAAAAATAAAACATCAAAAAAAAAAAGAAAAAAGAAACATCAACAATAATGAATGAATGAAATAAAAGACAGGTACATTTACCCATAAACTGGGAGTGAAGAAGGACTTTCTAAGCAGGATACAACAATCAGAAGTCAGCAAATGAAAGGATTGATGGTTATAGCTAATGAAAAAAATTCAATGTTTCTACAGGAAAAAAAAAAGCTATAAAAATTAAACTATATCACACTGAGAAGAAAATTTTGCAACATGTATTATGAAGGGCTAATTTTCTTAATTTACAAAGAGCCATTCCATATCAAGAAAAACTGCTGAATACTCCAAAAAAAAAAAAAAAGCCAAAGTATTTGGTCAGGTAGCAAACACACATGATTAAGAAATGCAAAATGATGTTCGATTTTGATAATAAAGAAATATAAAGGGCGCCTGGGTGGCTCAGATGGTTAAGCGTCTGCCTTCGGCTCAGGTCATGATCCCAGGGTCCTGGGATCGAGTCCCACATCGGGCTCCCTGCTCCTTGGGAGCCTGCTTCTCCCTCTGCCTCTCTCTCTCTCTGTCTCTCATGAATAAATAAATAAAAAGTTTAAAAAAATCATTTAAAAAAAAAGAAAGAAATATAAATGAAAGCAAAAGATACAATTTTTTAACCTGTTGGATGGGCAAAAACTAAAAAGATAATATTCAATGTTGGTAATGGTGTAAGGACACAGGCCTTCTCATGAACTACTTTGGGGTGCAAACTGGTGCTACTTTTGTTGAGTACTACTTAGCACAATTTACAAATATAAAAAAAAGAACATTTCTTTGATTCACTACTTCCACTGCTAAAAATTCATCTTAAAAATAAATCAAGACCTGCGCAGTAATAGGCTAGTTGCAAAACTTTGCAATGGAAAAAAAAATTAGTTATTTGTTAATAGATTCCTGGTAAATTGAGTCATGATACATATCAAAATGGAATTCTAGGCAGTTATAAAAAGAATGATGTTGACAAGGATATTTCTAAGAAATACTAGGTGGGAAAAAAGTGCAGAAGGAGTATGATTCCATTTTCATAAATTTGATGTGTGGAAGTGGGGTGGTGTGTATCAATAAACATACTCAACTGTAAATACTTTTCTAGAAAATACATATGAAATGGAGAAGCATTTCCTTTTGGGGTAAGGAACTGAGTGGAATAGAGGATATTTTTATTTTATATTTTTCTAATCCAGTCTAGGACCCAGGTCTAGTATTCGTCACTGGGTATATTACACTGAAATGGTATATACATAATAACCAGCTCATCTACTGCAGACATTTGTTCCCAGCTTGTCTGTTAGAACTGGAGAGGCCCCAAGTTTTGCACACTGGATAGGATTTGTTAACTGGATTAATGAAAGTACAATTTATTATTGTGTGGAAATTCAAGCATTTTTTAGAATGAAAGTCCTTCACAGTGAAGATTGGAACTCCTGGTGATGGAAAGGGAAAAAAATAAAACATATATAACTATGATGGGAGCTACTTTTGCTGTTGCAAGGGGAACCAGGAACGGATAGATGTGGCCTTAGCAACAACATGTGATGTTTCAGCTCCAGCCTGACAAGTGATCCAAAAATGTCACATGGTATTTACCTTCAGTATCAGCAGCCAGAACCCTTTAAACATCAACGCACTTACCATTTTTCTTAAAATGAAAACTGAAAACACTCTTTGTTTTTTTTAAACTAAACTTCATGTCTGACGTGGGGCTGACTCATGACCTGGAGATCAAGAGTCGGGTGCTCTACCAACTAAGCCAGCCAGGCAGCCCTGAGAACATGACTTTATGTGGAGGCTGCCACCACCTACATAATCATGTCTATAAATAAATGAAATCTTCCAACAGTAAATAGTAAATATGTGGCTCTGTGAGCTTCTAAGTTGCCAAAATTTGAATGTACTCAAACTTACAAATAAGAGAAAAAGATTTTAAGCTTCATGCCAGCCTAATGCCCCACATGTAAGTATTAGGGGTCATTTGCACAATCACATGGGGGATTAACAGGGCTTCCTGCTACCACTTACGTCATGTATGTAAAAAATGTGCTCAGGGGTTCCAGGGAATGATTCCGGAAATATTCAAATTCTCTGCATAGCTTTTTCCTCATCTCCGTGTCAATTTTGGAAACAGTAAGAGGATTTGTTTGATTAGCCAAGAAGTTTCCATAATCAGTGGTCTGGAGATGAATTTTCACATCTGAAAATTAAATGAAACCTCATTTAAAGTTTGAACAGCATAAATAGCTTTTACAACATTAATTGAATTTATTGTGACTTTATGATAAATGCATATTAAATTATTATTATTATCTTATTAGATACTTACGTCTATGTATGATTTAGCCTTGAGTGTTACTCTCTAAAGCAATAAAAAATTCAATGTTAGTACAGATATTCTAGTACAACAAAAAAAAATTCAATTATCTAAACAATCTAGAACTATTTAACACAGCTGAAAAGAACATTAACAACCACCTAGTCCTAAGTCTACCTGAGCCAGCTGTAGTCATTTGGAAATAGCTGCTCAGAAAACTATTGAGAAGGATCCTAAAGCTTCATCTCGGCTTGATGGAAATGAGAAATTTATTAGTAATATTTACCATGGGTACGGGAGGTGGAATGGGCAATCATCAATAACATCCTTTTATTATAGATGAAGAAATGGAGTCTCAATAGGGCTGAGTGGTGGAGTTATAGAGTAGTAAGGCTCGAATTAGGAGATGGATCTCCTTACTCTCAAAATCCAGTATCATTTCCAGAAGACCATGCCAGGCATCCTCTAAATGGCAGTGTTTTTGAATGCCAAGTAAGTGCTGAAGCATTAAGTGGGAGAGAAGGAGAGATAAGAAATGAAGCCAGAGAAGCAAGCAGGGGTTGTCCAAGAAAGGCTTGGCATGGCTTCCTTTATCCTGAGGATAACCAGGAGCCCTTGTAGGCTATGAACTGATAGCTGATGAGAAGGTGGATTTGCAATTGGCACTTAAGTGATTCTTAAGTATTGGCACTTAAGCGATTCTTAAGTATCTGAGATTCAGTGGATAGACATTCTTCCTTAGTACCTGGAGAAGATTATGCACTGAAAATATTCTTTACTTGACTGCAGAATTTATCTGTTTAATTACCTGTTTAATTAACTTAATTTTTAAAAAATTATACCTTTTTTGGGGGGCCATTTCTTGTTTGGCTTTTATTTTGGCAGTTCAGATTTTTTTATACAATTTGACAGTTTGCATTCTCAGCACTGAGGAATATTTGCCAACAGAAGAAACACAAATGTTATTTCTTTCAAAACCATGATATTTTGCTCATGCGACATATGTTTCTTTTAAGCAAAATAACTTCCAAACCTTTCAGCTGCCAGTGAGATCCTGAAATTCAACATCTCAAGTGTTTCAGACCCCATAGGAATCATGTAATACTGTAATCCATGGAGAGGCCAATGAAATTTTTTTTCCCAGCACCAAAACAATCCAAGGGACACCTGCATTAGGATTCTAAGAAAATCTCAAAACCTGAAATGTTTGCTCTGAGATGATGATAGACTGCTAATAATAACAACACTTATAGTTTTATAGTTTTCAAAATGGACTCACATAATTTCTCTGCATTTCCCCAAGTGCTTATTTAGATAGGTATGTAATAAAAAGGACTTTGTGGTCAAATAAATTGGAATAAACAGACTTCTTAGCTGTAGGAATTGAAAGCCTTTAACACATTACTTTGAGTGATTTTTGAAAAGAGTATGGTTCAGAACCTCCCAAAACACTAGAAAACAATGGAGCCACCCGCAGAGCACACTCTAGAAAATTACACTGCTTTTTTATCTACAGAAGTGACGTTTTTCTTTTTTATTCAAATGAGGAAATGGAATGTTTTCCAAACTGGGACACTACCAACTAAATCCATTTAATAGGTCCCAAACAGCAAAGAATAAAAGTATTAGATTAGGCTCTTGTAACAAATATGAGCATATAACACAGAGTAGCGTATACACACACACGTGTGTGCACACAGGGGCGTCACGTAAAAATGTGTCTTCTGTGGGCTGCCATCACTGGGTTCAGTGAATTCTCTGAGATCACTTGGCTACTGAGGCAGGATGATGATCTGGGACATCATGATTATCTTCTATTAATTTGTTGTTCAGATCAGTTTTAGAAAATGGTAATTTTTTTTTTCCTGTGCAGCTTCCTGTTCGGGGCTCTCTATAGAAGTGAATGTCCAGACCTTTTACACTCCAGGTAGGCTTTATGCCAAGGAAGCACCTTCAAGAGGTACCCGCAAGGGGTGCTTTCCTTGAGCCATCCCCTGCCTTTTCCCCATTCTCTGCTGGCGAGGAACTTAAGAAGTTATCTGACTTTTCTGAACTCAGTTTCTTCACCTGCAAAATGAATATAGAATCCATGCCTTCAGGTTGTTGTGGGGATTAAACAAGAGGATGTAGGTGAAGAGCCAGCATATAGGAGCTACTCCATAATATTACCTTTTTTCTTCTCACTTGTACCCACTTACTTCAGCGATTAATTTGGCGCGAGCCAAGCTACTCATGCCGTTTGACAAAGTCCAAGTATGAGGGACAATCCTGAAAAATCAGGAGACTCCACAGCTGGCTCCTACTACTTCGTTTCATTTTATTTGCGGCAATCTTTATAATCAATTCTGGGGTTTCATGATAAAATGATTTATAAATTTAGTTATGTCTATGCAAGCAATCATAATGAAACTGATTCCAAAAAGGCCCACGATGGGCCAAGAAGTAAAGATACCCAATGTCCTCCAATCTGTAAGGGAGCCGTTGGATCCAGGCCCAGTAAAAATTCCTATTGATGAGATTCCTCAGGCACCTCTGAAACATTAGAAAAATCTCATGACATTCCACAGTACAGGAACCTCCCTATGTTGTATACAAAATAGAAGGCCACCTCTGGTATGCCCCTCGAGGCAAGCCCCTGATGTAGGATAACTTCCTTGCCCCTACTCCTCCCATTCCTTATACTGGAGTTGACAATGAGGATATGAACAAATGGTGTAAGATTAAGGGGAAAAAGTGTGCGGGCATCATCTGACAGCCTCTGGGAAAGGAGTGATCCTCCGTGGTGTCTCCGGAGCAAGGACAAGAGACATATAGAAATGGAATAAGTACTTTGATAAGATAGGGTGCACACATTGTAAGCTGCCTTTGGAGAAAGTAGATAACCTTCATAGGTCACGCTGTTTTCTAAATCCGAAATGATTGCGATAAAATGTAAAAATATAAGATCACATGGAAGAATGGAAAAACAAAACACTAATGAATAAAAAAGAGTCCCTCCGAGGCTATCAGGAGGGAGATGCTTGCAACCTGATCCTGTCTCCGTGTCTCCTCACTCGCCGACACTGTTGTTTCCTTCAAGGACCCTTTCCCACCGCCCCCCCCGCCCCCCCCCGCCCCCCCCGGAGCTGGACTCCGGCAATAATTTGAATCAGTTGGCTGAAGACTTTGGTACTTATTCTGTACATCAGAATATTCTCAGCCAATATATTCGCGTCGGCCATCAGATCTTATAATTACTCAGATTTTAATACTAAACCAGTATCTATAAAAACGGAAACTTTCCCTCCATTTTTGCTAATTTATTGGAGTTTCTCCAAGTCATTTTTGGTGCTTTTTTACTCCAAATCCCTTGCACTGTTCTTTAATGTCCTCTCTGGTTTCCACTCCGCGTGCCCCTGGTTTAGAATGGCCACCTGTCATCAAGATTACTGCTGTGAGCTCTTAAATTGATTCTCCCAAGCTCATTTCTCCTCATGCACTCCCTGCCTCAAATTCAATCTTTCCATCCAAAGAATTATTGTGAGTTTGTAAATGTCCTTATAAGAATCTTGAGTCACTGACAGTTGTAGGCAGATTAAAAAGGACTTTCCTAATATTTGTAATGGTTTACCACTGACAGAATGGCTCTAATGGACATCATCTCTTAACCTTAACGAATATTCCCATTTCATAGATGAAGAAACTGAGGCCCAGAGAAATAACATGTTCATGTTTTCTATGCTTGCGAGTATTTGACCGAAGATTCAGATATGCCTCTTGTCCTCATTCATGTTCCTAAATCTCCACAATCAGATCTCCAAGGTTCTTCAAGATTTTTCCCAGCCTAAATTCCAGCCTTATCTCCAGGTATTCTAGTATTGCAGCCAAACTGGTTTACTCCTCACCAAAAGCTTTTATTTAAATAGAAGAATCTGTAGTTCATTAATTTTCCCTCCTGGCCCAGAATGCCCAGCCATCGCAACACTGCTTGCTCGCATCTCATTGGCATTTCCTAGCCTATAGGCCTGCAGATCTGCTTCCCTTTTTGAATATATTTGTGATTTATAGGCTTAAATTGTTCTTGTATTTTAAAAATTTTGATTGTTTTTACTTATTTATGACATCCTCAACTAGAGAGCTGTTTAGGGAGTGCATAGTATCTTACTGTTTATCATATTCTCTACATCACCTAATAACAATTTTTATCACATAGATGATCTTCAAATATTAGTAGATTTAATTTCTGATTAAAACCTAGGACCTTGGGGTACCTGGGTGGCTCAGGTCATGATCCCAGGGTCCTGGGATCGAGTCCAGCATCGGGCTCCCTGCTCAGAAGGGAGTCTGCTTCTTTCCCTCTCTCTGCCGCTCCCCCCGCTTTTGCTTGCTCTCTCTCTTTCTCTCTCAAATAAATAAAATCTTTTTTTTTTAAGATTTTATTTATTTATTTGACAGAGACAGAGACAGCGAGAGCAGGAACACAAGCAGCGGGAGTGGGAGAGGGAGAAGCAGGCTTCCCGCCGAGCAGGGAGCCCGATGCGGGACTCGATCCCAGGACCCTGGGATCATGACCTGAGCTGAAGGCAGATGCTTAATGACTGAGCCACCCAGGCGCCCTAAATAAAATCTTAACAACAACAACAACAAAACACAGAGGACCATATAGTACTTCATTACATAATTCCATGCATGTTACCAGGATTGAAACTCCTCATTTTGGTTCTTAAACAAACAGGTGCTCTCTGAAGAACACAATCAGCTACATAGAACCATATACAAAACACCATTAACCATAACCATGAGATGGGAAGAATTATTTCAGGAATTCAAAAGTCTAGCAAAAAGAGAGAAAACTAGTTCTTGTTGTATACACACTGTCGTTCAGGGAGGTGCTTATGATTTCC